CTTACGTAATAATTTCATATATACTCTTATTATATTTATACTAATAAAATATATCGGTGTTAATTTACAGAATAAATTATTATTCATTAAAGTATATTGTAAAGAGTAAGTAAGCAAAATATGATTATCCATTAATGCAAATAGCCACAGACAAACTATAATAACGCCATTCGATTCAACGTGAAAAATTACTAAGGAAACATGTATTATTTACTTGAATTTTATTTATAAAGTTACATTGTTATAAAAATAATATAAACAATTAGAATGAATTTATACTCGTTGTAGCCAATAGCTATACAGTCACGAAAAAAGAACTATTAGAATCTTAGCATAAGCCCTAATAATAATTTTTGACTTTCTAAATATTTTATAAAAAAAATTTTTCTTAATTTATTATAAACAAATTGTAAATTTAAAAAAAAAAAATTAATACCGCCATTCGATTGTACGTGAAAAATTACTAATGAAACATTTATTACTTGAATGTTATTTATAAAGTTACATTGTTGTTATAATGTTATAAACAATTAAAATAAACTTATACTCGATCCAGCCCATGATTACAGACATGAAAAAACAACATGATTTCTAAAAATAATAATTTTTGACGTTTAAAATAAAAAAAAAAAACATTTTCAAAAAATTTGTTATAAACAAATAAAGATATTGTAAATTTAAAAAAAAACTAATTCGATTCTACGTGAAAAATTACTACGGAAACATTTATTATTTGAATATTTTTATAAAGTTACACTGTTATAAAAAATGTTATAAACAATTAAAATAAACACTTATCTTCGTTTATTTGTTTATAACAAATTATTTTTAAAAAATGTTTAAAAAATATTTTTTATTAGGACTCTTTCTAGAATCTTAATAATTATTTTTTCGATATTTGCTTTTCAGTATCCATGAGCAAGTTCATTTTATGTAATTGTTTATAATATTTTAACAACAATGTTACTTTATAAAAATATTTAAATGATACATATGTTATTCTAGTAATTTTTCACATACAATCGAATGGCGGTATTAGTTTTTTAAAAAATTCACAATATGTTTATTTATTTATAACAAATTTTTTGAAATTTTTTTTTTTTTTATTTTAAACGTCAAAAATTATTTTTAGGGATCATGCTAGGATCCTAATAGATGTTTTTTCATGTCTGTATAGGTAGTCATGGGCTGGATCGAATATAAGTTCATTTTAATTGTTTACAACATTTTTACAACACTGACTTTATAAATAAAATTTAAATAATTTAACTATTTCTTTAGTAATTTTTCTCTTCGAATCAAATGGTGTTATTAGTTTTATGAAAGATAATTTGTATACAACAAATTGTTCAAAAAAAATTTTAACGTCAACACTTTAAAAAATTTATCCGAAATCTTCAACTACCTTTGGGTAGTTAAGTGAAAAGAAGTTAAAACAATTACTTTCTTAGTTAGTTTAACAATGTTTGTGTAGTTAATTTCACTATTTCTTAAGTAGTTAAAAATTAGTAGTACAATTAACTTAAAAATGTAGTTAGAATTTAAAACTAACTACAAAATCTTATTATATCAACTACATTCTTAGTTATTTTAACTACTTTTTAGTAGTTAATACAACTTTTAAAATTGAGTTGAGGACCTATTGTACTATACAGGGTAGTTAAAAAGTATAGTCAAATCTACCACTTACTTTTTTGAGTGAAAAAAAATTATTAGAGCACATGCGATAAGATTCTAATAGTTGTTTTTTTCGATATCTGTTTGTCTTTGGCTATGGGCACTAATGGGTTAATTTTTATCAACTTTGGAGAAAATGTTCCTATACTGACGTGTCAAAAATTTCATAACTGAAATGCAATTTAAAATATATATTTTATTAAAATCAGCTGAAATCCAGTTAAGTTAAGTAATTAAATTTACTCTCTAAATCTGAATCAGTAGAAATTTTACTAATTCAATCAGTACTTTTCATTTTAACTGAAGTTTCAGTTATATTTTGAAATTTACTAATATAATTAGTGAATATGCAAGCAATAGAAAATAACTTATATGTAAATCAGTAAATTGTATATAACATATAACCTTTAAAATTAACTATTAAATCAGTAGATTTTGTGGCCGCCGCCATATATTTATATTACTGATTCAATCAGTAATTTTACTAAATTGAATCAGTAAATTTCTACTAATTTTCAGTTGCTCAATTCTCGCTATGGCAATTAGTAGATTTCTACTGCTAATCAGTAAAATATGACTGATTCAGTTTTAGAGAGTAAATTGAACAAAATAATTTCTATTTAAATCAATTAAATTTTATTTGTTTCGAATTCAAAAATTATTATGGTGTAATTATATTTTATTTGATTCAAATAAAAATTATTTGATACTAATAAATATTTATTATTGATAATAGTCAAGTTATCGATTATTTGAAACAAATAAATTTTTTTCAGTGTAACAAAAGTCAGTTAATAAATTAATTGAATTTCAATTAATTAAATGAATGAAAATGATTAACTAAATGTAAAAACTTCAATTAATTTTAAATAAAAAATATTTAAATTAAAATTTCAATTAAAATAGTTTGTTAAAATTTTAAAAATTTTTATTAGAAATAATTATATTTTTTAGGCGAACACAGAAAATTAAAAGGCATTAAAATAAGAAGCGTTGCAGCTTATTTTAATGCCTTTTAATTTTCTGTGAATTTACATTTTTCGTATTATGCATTTGACGGAATTTCTTTTTAAGGGTATGTGGGAACCTCCCACGTGGCCTAGTATGGGAAAATGTGTTTTGGTAGTATACGTTTCACTCTAAAATGAGAAAAGATTTTTGTCTAAAATTTTGAAGGATGATAGATTAGGGTACAAGGAATCTCGCTGTTCTCCGAAAAATACCTAATTTTGAGTTAAATTATTAAAAAAATGAAGTTTAAAAAGTGTCATTTTTAAACGAAAATGAAAAGAAACATGGCGGCGCATACACAGATGTTGCTTGAGTGTGTCAGTGCTTCAGTCAACAGCGCCAATTCGAGCAAGTTGTGACTCAATGAACTACGATTAATATTTTACTATTTATTACTTTATTTTTATTATTTTTGCATTAAGTTATATCAAATGAGTAGAACAGCGAGATTCCTTGTACCAAACAAAATCATTTTTCCAAAAATTTTAAGCCAAAATCATTTTTTATTTCAGATAAAGTTTCAAACCACAAAAAAAAGGCCTTAGCCCAAATACTCTTAAATGAATTTTTACTTAATAAAATTTTAAGTTGTCTAATTTTTATTTGACAAAATTTTTTATTTTACAAAATTTCTCTTTATCTAACTTGAAAATTAAAAAATTCTAATTTAATCGTATATTTAGAATTCTTATTTAAGGGCAGGTCAAAGTCGAAGCAATTTTTACATAAAGCTTCAATGGGAAAATCGCATCGACTTTGACCTGCCCTTAACAAAATTTTAAATGTCCGAAATTTTTCTGTCGATTGTTTGTCCGGTCATTTGTAGTTTCAAACAGTTGGAAATTCGGAGTTTTAATAATTTTATAAAATAACAATTCGTGCAAATAGAAATTGAAATAAATACAAATTTGGTGAATTGAAAATTATAAAAAAAAATTTGAAACATTTAAAATTCCGTTGAATCAGAATTTTGCTAAATTATATTCGTTTTAATAAAAATTCTGTTAAAAAAAATTCGCTACCTATAATAACTCGGTTTAGCAAAAGTTAGTTTGAAAAGAAATTCTGTCAAATGCTAATTCGAAAAATTGATATTCCTCAAAAAAAAAAAATAATAATCTAAATAAAATTCTTTAAGTAAAATTTTTTAAAATAAAAATTTTAACTATTTATGGAAAATTTATACGCCCCTATAAATTAATATAATAGCAAAGATAAAGATTATCATCATATTTTATCAACTTACTCCTTATTTTCAGCATTAATTAACAAATATTTATCTAATTTTAAAAAAATAACACTTCTTTCAATGATAACAAATAAAAATTTACAAAATTGTAAATGTGTAAATTTTGTTTTTGTCTTGTTATTAAAAAAAAAAAATTAGATAGCTTTTAAAAATATTTCTATAAGCGTTGCATATATATTCATTTTAATATAAGACTAGAAAAAAAAATTTACTAAATTTTGTCTCCTTTTATAAATTTTTTATTAATAAAATTCATTAACTGTTATCATTGAATATTAATTTTCGAAATGATATTTTGTGAACATTATATTACATATTTGAAAAAAAATAATAATAATATTAAGACCTAGTCACAATTGTTCAAAAATGTACAAGCTTATACATTTGGTTTAAGGACATTCAAGTTAAAGACGGATCCTATGAGTTTCAACATTCAGGACATATTGCACTTTTGTATTTTTAATTGTAACTTTCGGATTTAGAATGATATATATGATATAATGTAACAAAAATAAATTATAAACAATTTGTTTTCATTTATATTTGCATTCAATTTTCAAAGGCAAAATATAAAATGTCTAATATTTAATTAATGTTGATTTGTAAATGAAAATTGATTTAAATAAAGTTTCAAAAAAATTTTCTTTTGATAAATATATCTATATACTTTCCGAAAGTTGAGAAGAACCAGAAATGAATGTTAATATTATTATAAATCATAATATATGAATTTAAATTAATTAGTTATGTACCAATTTAATTTGATTTGTATAGTAATTAAAAAATTCATTTCTGGTTCAATAGTAGTGGATTAAAAATGAAAATTCTAATATTGGAAAATACAAAATGAAATAGTACACTGGTAAATTTTTTTTTGTACAAAACCTGTTGTTTTTGTTTTATACGCTTTGTAATTATTTAAAAAATTTTAATTTAGAAAATTTATCTAAAGGATATACTCAACAGATTTTATGAGGTACAACATTTAAATTGAATTTACTTTAATTAATTAAATTTTCAAATAATATATTGTTTATTTAAATAATAATATAAATTAGCTGGAATTTTTTTGTTATCGTTATTAATAATCGTTGAATTTTAATAAATAAAAAGCCAAAGTATTGCAAATTTTTTTAATACCTTTAATTTTAATTCTCATATTTTGTGAACACGCACAAAAAAATATCAAATTAAATATTCTACATTATTTTCCAATATTATGAATTGTTATTTTTAATCCATACGTATAATTATCACTCGACACAAGTCACATCTCCTCCTTCAACAAGAAAAAAAAAAAATAACAAACTTGTTACAATACCAAAATAGTCAAATCCATATTATTGTTTTTAAATCAGCGGTGAAAATGCCGACGCTTGACTTCTAATTTCCCGATGTTCCGACGGACTCAAATCCAATAGTCCGCCAACAACATTTTGTTCGCTCCCAACTTGTTTTCCAATGAGAGCATCAATACTGAAACTTCTTTTTTTATCAATAATTGTCGACGCACTGGGCATAGATGTTGTCCTCGGTACATGATTAATCTGCCTAATTGGCGGTGCTGTTATTGCCACTGGTTTATAAAGTGGTGGCGGTGGTTCCAAAAAATTTCTCAACTTCAATGCATCCAATGCCGACGATGGAAAATCCAATAGCGGTAATCCTGATGGTGTTGCTAAATAGGGATAGGGAATTGCTCCAGGATGACCTCCACCTCCAGCACAAGAAGTCCGATCACCACATATTGCAAATGTCGCCATAATGGCTCTATCTCGTAAAACATAATGAGGCGGTGGCCTTTTATATCTCTTTCTTCGCCTTAAAAAACTTCCATTATCAAACATATCCTCAGCAAGTGGATCAAGAGTCCAATAATTACCCTTACCCGGATTACCCGGTTCCCTTGGAATTTTAATAAAACAATCATTCAATGACAAATTATGCCTAATTGAATTTTGCCATGCTGGAAATTTGTCGTGATAATAAGGGAACCTTGTCATAATAAATTCACAAATTCCACTAAGAGTAAGCTTCTTTTGGGGCGATTGAAGAATTGCCATTGTTATTAATGCAATATATGAATACGGTGGTTTTATCAATGACGAGGAGAGTTTGTCTGTGGAATAATTTGAACCCTGATGATTCTTTTGACTAGTGGACATTGAATAATTTTTCTTATAGGTTTTATTACGATTTCGCGAGGTAACTGCAACCGATGATGGGGTCACGGGACTTGTTGATGGTTCAGGGGATAGGTCTTGTTTATCTAAACTCACTGGATCCACAATCATGCTACTGCTGTCTGAATCCCTGTCACTGTCCATGCATCCATCACACGATGCATTTGACATCATATTCATTTCCATATTTAACATTGATGCATAACGATTGCTCGACGAATTTACTGATGGTGTCAGTAAACCGGCGTTTTGTACTTGACTTGAATTTAACATTTTCAATTATTCTGATTAATTTATTTTTATTTTCAATAGCACTTTGGTCAGTGTCAAACAATAATTTCTGACAATTCCAATTATTCTGTAGAGGTCCTCCAAGAATTGGAAAGAGCTCAACAGTGGAATCGCGAACAAAAACTCGTGCAACATTTCATTTTCATTCGATAAAGACCCTAATACGACTGTCATCAAAGTTATCTCTACGCTATCATCTTAATAGTTTGTTTCCTTAGTGATAAGAGTCTTTTTTTCTTTCGCACCCTCACACGTACGCCACGTGACAGTCGCACTCTCTGGTTCTCTTTTTGACTCTAAACACCAGGTACTCACAGATGGACGTATTTTTAATTCGCTCATGTTTTAAGCGACTATTTTTGAACGTTGATTGAAAACAATGGATCCACCGTAAGACATTTGTAAACAGTTAAAAGAACTCTTTTTATTTCAATCACAAATTATTATTTCATAATTAAAATAACATACGCACTATTTCTATTTTGGTAAAAACTGATTAAAGGATAAATTCACATTGATTTCTTGTTTATATATAGGTAAGAATGAATCACGTGACTGGATGAAAGATTCCAGAAATAGTGAACGGTTGTTGTGTCAGGAAATCCGAACCGTGTTGATGAGAGAACTGTAAACGTACCTCTATGACTGGAAGGGTATCGCGAATTGATTTGAAAGCCTCCTTCGTTTGGGGGCGGATCGTGGGGCGGAGACTTTTCTCCCCACTTTCGGCGTTAAGGGGGGGAGGGGGTGTCAGCCACCCTCGCGAAAGGCTTTGCGGGAGATTAATCCCGAGAGTGACGGGGGTAGGGGTGGGGTGGCAAAGCTAGGAAAATAGCAAGATAGATAAAGGGTCTTTCGACTATATAAGGGAGGGTGAAATTGTAGCACTCTGGGGGCTGCTTTGCTTTGAACGCGACGATAAGAGAATGTAGGTGTACAATGGTTCCGGTCGTGTCGACAAAGGCGACCGCTTAGAAACTGTCAACGAGAAATCGAGCCAAGAGAGAGAGAGAGAGGAAGAAGTACAACACGTATATACACATTTGAGAAACTATTTTTGTTTTCCTTTTTTCGCTTTTTGTGTTCTTCCTTATCGAAAGAATAACTGATTTTTTAAAAAGGGTTTTATTCGCATTAAATTTTTAGGGGAATGATATATATAGAATTAAATTTCAAGTTAATGGAACCATTTAAATATTATAAATTAATGGTTCTATCAATGATTATTTTAAAGTACTATGACGTTTTTAATTAGTTGCGGGTTCGGACAAGAAGTTCATTCAAGTTATTTTATTTTCTTCAACGTTTCGAAATCAAAATAATTTATTCCTCTTGAGGGAGACAATCAAAATACAAAATTATAATATATAAATCCAATAGAGAGAATGATAAAAATAAGAACAATTAAAATAAATTAAAAATCTTAGCAAAAATTAATAATAAATGACATCAAAAATTATGAATCATTAGTCCAATAAAAACATCATAAGATACACCCTAAAAAAAGTAATTTTCAATCTAGAGGATTCCTCTAAAATAAATGCATATTTTCCTCTTAATTTTGGTATCAAAATTATTATTCTTCATTTAAGAGGATTTTCCTCTTAAATTAAATGTCGACATCCAAACCTCGTAAAATTGTTTTTAATGTCAAAGCCATCAATAAAATAATTATAATTTCAATCAAATAATAAAATCTTTGAAGAAAATACATTTTTAAATTAAAATTAAGTAAAATTATAATAGTTCATTTCAATATAATAATAAAAATTGTTTTTTAATATAACATTAACAATGTCATGTTTTTGGTTAATTATCAACATTTTATATTGATAATTAAAATACAAAAAATAAGTTTTCATTAATCAGTTGTAATGATCAACGAGATTTTCAGCGCAAAAATAATTTTAAAACATGATGATATGTTTAAAAGTTAACATTTTTTATAGGACAGAAAAAAATTTCATATATGAAATTATTTAACGTTTTAAAACTTTTTTAAAAAAGTAAATAAAAAGATTTAAAAAATTCGAAAGATTCAAAAATGGGGTTATAGTATTTCTATTTACCTGAGTAGTAAAATTTCACAAGAAATATCCAAATTTTTTTAAATCTAAAAATAGCGTTAAAAATATTCATTTAATTTGAATTTAACTATATTTTCTGTATTTTTAATAAAGCAAATCCATTTTTTTGTCCTTTTTGTTGACATTTTACCAGAAATATTAAAACTGAAAGGTTAAAAAACAACTTCACAACTATCATACCCAGGGAAAGGGATCAAACGATTACATTATTTTTTTCCGTTTCCTTTTTTTAAATCTTCTAAATTTAAAACGGAAAATCTTAATTAAAGAGGAAAATACAAAAGGAATCCTTTTGTCATTCTTCCATTAAAATGAAGAATAAAAATATTCTACATTTCAATTGAATAATCTTGTTTTAAGAGGAAATATTTAGAGGATATTAGAAGAGGAATTTTCCTCTAAGTATAAGATTACTTTTTTTTGGGTGTAATATATAATTCGTCAAAAGCATAAAATTAATATAACCAAGTACTGTTGGAGAACAATAGACCCTGAAGTTAAATACTAAAATATAAAAATAAAAAATTTAAAACAAAAAAATCATAATAATAATTAATTAATTATTTTTAAAAATCTTCAAATTTTGATTTCTATAATATTCAATTTAAATCTTAAGTCTTGAAAAATTTTTATCAAATAACTATTTTTTATTATCCATGAAAAACAATATACATATATTTTAAGTTTATATTCTTAATTAAATTGTTTCAAAATAATTTATTAAATTAATTAAAATACCTTATTAAACTTCCTTTATCTAATAAAATATTAATATATATTTTCCGGATGAAATTATTTTAATTTTAATCATATTAACATTTTTTTAAATTATAATTAGATATTTTTCATTCCCATATAGGTTTTTAATATGTTCCTGTCTATACGAATATGTAATGATCTTTTGGTTTGTCCTACATAATGTTTTACTACAATTACATTTAAATTTGTAAACACAACACTGATTGAATCCCTCAAGTTTATCCTAACCAAGTTTTATAAAAGTAATCTAACTTCGAATCTACGCTAAAAATTGTTTTCATTAGTACAGCAGTATTGGTTGGTAGAAATTAATTTTCTTTTATTCGTTTTAGCGAATGCAATTCATTAGTTTGCGCTTCTTACTGATTGTAAGTTTCTTCTTCTTTACTGAGCTGACAATAAAGAACCCATTTCGTAAACTGGATTTTAGTAAAAAATTTTGATTAATTACTGATAAGAAAATTGAAAAAAAAAAACAAAAATAATATCAACGATTTTTTAAAGTCGTTTATGAATCATTAATAAGAAAAAAGAAAAAAATTAATCTCTAAATACAAAAAAGACACATATCAAAAATTTAATTTTATCGCATTAAAATGAAATCTCTTCAAGAAATATTAATTTCTGAAACACGTGATCTCAATATATGCGAACAATAATATATATATATATATATATATATATATATATATATATATATATATTATATACATAAATTATTCCCATAAATATTGAATGATTCTGATAGGTATTTATATGATGACTTCGTGAGCAATAATAAAAGTCTAATATTCAGCGATTTTTGGGCATACTGTTCCAATTGAATCAGCTTAATATTTGACTTTCGATACTTTGTGACAGGTCGCTTTAGAAAAGGGGGATTTAGGTCGTGCCATAGTAAATGGCAATCACAATGGCTTACGCCCTCGCGATGCTTTTAACGAGCGGGGTCACCTCGGTATATTATGTGGGTATTAGTTCGTGAAACTGCATGGTGTGGCCAACAATTTGTCCCATAGATCATATGTCATTACAAAAAGGGATGCGGTAAATACCCTAGCGAATTCATGATGCGATCGCTTTTATTTGGTGGGCGATAACAATTATTACTACCGTATAGACTCTTGTAATAAATAGATGAGTCGACATAAATATTTCTGTATAGACATATTTTGTATGTATACGTCCCCCTTTTATTTTATACATTAGCAGAAGCTGGCAAAATATTTCTTCTAAAATAAAAATTATTTCTGCTCATTTTTGCTTCCTCGTGGAGGAAGCTTTGTAGTCCTTTCGTTTATAAAACTTTTCAAAGTGGCGGAAACAAATTTTTTTTTTTTATAGAAACGATCATGTTATATGAGATCCTGATCAATTGTCCGGATGTATGTATATGTGTGTGTGGATCCCTTTCTTGTTTAGAAGATAACTTTAACAGGTTTTAATGGATTTAGATAAAATTTGGTAGGCTCATTTATCATATTAATATCTCAAATCTGACCAAAGGATTTTGAAAAATACCTCAAAAAAAAAAATTTTATCGTCTTTTTTCCAAAAATTTTTTTTTAATCGAAAAAATTTTTAAATAGAAAAATTTAAGGTTATATATAATAAAATCGTATTCCTTACGTCAAGACGAATCGATCGATATATATAAAGTATACATTTGAGGTAAATTTAAAGAATTAATGAAAGTTAAAAAATCAAAAATTCACATTTTGTCAATAAAATTTTGCTTTCTCCACGAGGAAGCAAAATTTTTTGCTGATCGTAAACAGCAAGCAAAATGTTCATGTAATGAACATCTGAATTTACAACTTGTTTCTTTTCTCTCCTAAAATTATATATTCTCTAAATTTTAAATTAGTGAAAATTACTACTATATATAATCCCTCATGGCATGGGATATCCCGAGCATATCCCATTTTCATCCCGCAATATCCCTGAGATAGCCCAGAAATATCACCCCGTGTAGAAATTACCCAGCGGATGCTGCGCTAGGTAAAGATAAATTTTTGGATTTTTTGAATTTTTAAAAAAATCGTCCGGGATTACCGTCACTGACTAAAACCGGGAGTTGTCTATACAAAAAATGTATCGCGCACTTTTTGATTATAGTCCAGCGGATGCTGCCTGCGTAAAAATGAAAGTATGCACAGAAAATACCTACTCTCATTTTTGTTGTAACTCAAAATGAGTCAATTCTTAAAGACAAAAAGTGGCACAATTTACATGACTCATTTTTGCTGTACTTCAAAATGAGTAGCGTACACTACTCCACAGAAAATTAAAAGGCATTAAAATAAGCTGCAACGCTTCTTATTTTAATCCAATTTTGCTTATTTTAATCCATTTTGGTATTAAAATAAGCAAAATTGGATTAAAATAAGAAGCGTTGCAGCTTATTTTAATGCCTTTTAATTTTCTGTGTCATTTGCGGACTAGGTTTTTTCTGTGCAGCCAAAATTTTTAAAAAATGTATAAGATAGAAAATAGTATATTTCGATACAAGGGGCCAAGCGAGCGTTTTGCTCATTACACGAGTAATGGGCATACGCTCGCGAGGCAACGAGTATCGAACCATATTTTTCTTTATAAGTGCAGGCATAACCTCGTTTGACAGCTACTTGCAGCTATTCAAAATGGCCGACTCCCTCATTGTGCGTGCGGACGATGAGCAAAATGTTTTGGCCACCGCTTAACGGTGAGCAAAATACTTTGCTCATCGTCCGCGCGTACGGTGAGGGATTCGACTATTTTGGATAGCTGAAAGTGGTTGCCAAACGAGGTTTTTGCATGCACGTATAAAGAAAAATGTATTTTAATAAGGTTTTTAACTTTTGCCTAAAAGTTTTTTTTTTAATTTTGCATATTTTACCCAATAAACAAACAAAATCATACAATTTAAGACTTTTTTTATGGTTTTCACAATAAAAATAAAAATTTTGGTTATTGTCACTATATGATTTTCGAAATCAGAGCATCAAAATACATAAAAGTAAAAAATATAATAAAAGACCAAAGTCATTTTTGAAAAATTCAAAAATTTTTCAAAAATTCTAAACACATAGTAAAAATTGTTTGCAGTTTTTCTTTAAATTTAGAAAACATCGATCAGTACGATAATTGAGAAAAACGACTTTTTAACTTTCAAACTTAAAAATTTTATAGTAATATCATCTGAAAAAATTTTCAATTTTTTTGAAAATTACAGTTTACAAAAACACACAATTTGAAAAAAAAAATCTCATAAAATTGATGAATTTTAAAGGAAGATATGAGAATTTAAAAATTAAAAGTCATGAAAATTCTGAAATATTCATATCTCAAAAACGGCTTGCTAAAAAAAATTGAAAAAACTCATTTCGAGAATATTTTATGGGAAAAATATATAAAATACATTTTTTTTCAAAATTCAAAATTTTGAATTTTTTTGAGACTCAAAAAATTCATAACACTTTTGTTTTTAGCCTCTATTGGAAAATGTTACGGGAAAAAAGTGTTTTATTTTGGGAGTATTTTATGGGAAAAATATAAAAAAAAAATTTTTTGATTTTTAAAATTTTCAAAAACTCAAAATTTTGAAAAAATTTTGAATTTTTTTTTTTTTTTTTTTGAACCTTAGGGTTCATTTTGCCCTTTTGAAAAAGTCTACAAAATTTTAGACCGATTCATTAAGATTTATTCGAGTAATCGAGAAATCAAAAAATTGTCAAAATAGAGACGAAAGACTAAAGGCTTTAGCTCGACTTTTTCTTCGCCCTCTAAATATTCAATTTATTATTATTATTATTTTTAATAAATTAAAAAAAATCATAACTTTTTTCTTTAAGTCTCAATCAAAAATGTTACAGGAAAAAAGTGTCTTATTTTATTAAATATTTAATAATATTGTTAACAAAATGCAAAAAGGCATTATAGAGAAAGTTTCAAACAGAAAAATAATAATCTATTATATTTGTAGTCTGAAAATGATAATAATTGTTGAATAAATTTTTTCAAAACTAAAAACACTTTTTTATTCAAGGTAATATTAATTTCATAATAATTTAATTTATTTCAATTATTTTATTATAATTTAATAAATTTCATTATTTTAAAAAAGCGTGTGCTTTTTTGTCTTGGGCCAATCAGATGATTTCAACTAAATGTAGGTTATGTTCGTTTCTGATTCATGACAGCTGCAAAAATATATATGTGGAACAATAATTTAAGGTGATTTTTATAAAATGAATATTGATTTAGATGCTGTGGAAAGCACACTGAAAAAAAAATTTATTTGGATCAAATAAAAAGTATTTGATCCAAATACATCATTTACTTGTCTATTATCCAATAAATATGTATTTGAACCAAATACACATTTACTAAACCTAATTATTTTATTTTATCGTATCAAATAAATAGTTATTTGAATCAAATACAAAGTATTCAAATCAAATAAATGGAATATTCAAAGCTATAATAAATAATTATTTGAATCAATTATGAAAATTATTTCATTCAATATTGCATGTTTTTTAATTCAAATGAATATTTATTTGCATAAATAAAATATTTTTTTTGAAACAACTAAAAATTTTCTTGAATCAAATATTCGATTATTCGTCATATGTATCAAATACTTTTTATTTGTTTTAATAAAACGAAATATTTAAGTGAAATAAATAAATTAATTGTTTCAAGTAAATCATTATTATCGTTTAAAAGAAATATTTAATTGATTAAAATATTTTTTTAATTATCTTGATAAAATAGTGTATTAGGATTAAATAACGAATTATTTGTATTAAATAATTCAGTTTATTTGAATCAATTATATACATAAATTTATTGTGTCAAATACTTTTTATTTGTATCATAAATAAACGAAATATTTGAGTGAAATAAATGAATGAATAGTTTCAAGTAACCCATTATTTGTATTAAATAAATTCATTTATTCAATTCAATTAATTATTTAATTGAACCAAATAAATATTCAAATAATTCAAGTTATTTGAATCAAATACATATTTTTTTGATCCAAATAAAAAGTATTTGAACCAATTAAATATTTTTCAAATAATATGAAGTATTTGAATTAAATAATTTTTTTTTTCAGTGCAAAGTTCATTTTTTCTTACATTCGATTTTTTCGATCATCGAGATATTTCGTTACATTTTCATGTGCTTTGCATGCACTGACTTTTTTAAGAAAGGACCAGTTGAATATGTTAAAATATTCTAAACACACATCTACACAAATTCCAATTTTATTCTACAATTTGTATTCTCCATAAAAAATTGACACGTGTAAAAAAACCAAATCCTTGAAATAATTTCAATACGTAAAAGAAAATTATCAACAAAAATAAAAGTTACATAAAAAAAATAATAATAAATTTTTTTTGATAAAGTCGCAAACATTGAAAAATTTAAGTATCAGATTTACTTTCATTGCTTCGTTTCTCTTCTTTACAGAAGTTTGAGTTGTTATTTTAAGAGCTACTTGCGATTTTTATTTATTCCTGTAAGTAAAATACTTATTAATATATAATTAATTTTCATTTTAAATCTAAAAAATGACCCCTAAAAGGAAATTAAGCATTTATATGTAATTATATAAGTCTGAAATATTATATTTCGCGTCATTTATTTATTTCAAAAAAAAATTCAATATTTTATATAATTGAAAATAATATTTTAAAAACAAATTTTTAATTTAAACAAAATCAATATTCCTAATATGGGTGATTTTCCACAAACTGTGATTTTTCAGGTTCTAATTTTTGTTTTTAATTTTTGAATAATCCATGAGTATTAACATTATTTCACTTCTATTTTGTAGTAGAATAAGCAATAAAAATGATTAGTAAAAAAATAAATAAATTAGTAAAATAATGAGATTAATGATTATGATAATAATTCCACATAAGTAACTTTTTGATATGGGTATTTCGAGTAAAGCCTAGTTGTTATAAAATAATAAAATAATCTCTTAAACAAATTTGGAACTGTAATATGATTAACAACTAATTTTATTTAATGAAAAGTCATTTCAAACTGTTCTTAAATCGAATTTAACTAATTAGAGAATAAATCTGTCTGATATAGAAGTCATATTTTTTTGTCTCTTTTGTGTCAAAATTTAACGTTATGTTAAATGTTATGTTCGTTTTTTGGCCATTTTCCTCTAAAGTTTGACTTAAATTTTGAGGTTATGTTTGTTTCTTAGTCTTCGTGTTAGTCGTTTTCCGCCAAAATAACATAACCTCAAAATTAAGGTCATTTTTAGCGGAAAATCAAATCAAAATCCCTCTCAACGTAAGGGTGGGGGAAAGCTTGAGGCTATATTCAGAGTCTTGAAACGAACATAACCTCTAAATTTAGGTAATTTTTTGCGGAAAATCAATCCTCTCAACCGGCGTGAAGGGGGGGGGGGACTTACGGCTATATTCAGAGTCTTGAAACAGCGGCGGTGGCGATATCTTTTTGTTATATAGTTAGATAAATTTGAATTAAATTTAAAGAATTAATGAAAATTAAAAGATAAAAAATTTACATTTTAGCTAAAAAAAATTTGTGTTTATTTAAATTCAAGTTTATAAATAAAATAATTTTATTTTTCTTGCATTAAAGCAAACCGATTGGTATAAATAAAGTAATATGTTTAACCCAAAATTAATTAAATTTTTCAAAAAATTTTAATTAATTTTAATAAATTGCAACCATTTTTCAACTCAAAATGTTGAATTAAAAAAATAACACGTGTGAAAAAAAATTCCTTGAAATAATTTCGATAAGTAAAAAAAAAAAAATAACCAACAAAAATAAGTGCTGCATAAAAAAAAATGAATAAAAAATTTTTTTTTTTTGATAAAGTCGCAAACATTAAAAAATTTATGTATAAGGAAATGTCAATGTTAATTTCTATAATATTTTTTGACAAAAAAAAAAAATTTCAGGTTCACGGATAAGATAGCAGAAATTCTAAGTGTACACAAAGATATCATAACGAAACCAGAAAAAAACAATATTAAACAAATTATCTAATGATGGAAAATGCAACAAATTTTCATTTTCTTCCTGTTTGTCACTACATAACTTATTTTGGTATTTTCTTTTACAACAATCACTTAATAACACTTGAAGAACGATATCAAACTATCAGCATATTAAATACTTTCTTTGAATATCTCAATAATTCCAATAATAATGAATCAGAGTTGAAACTGAAATTTCTACAAAATGCACTGAAAGAAAGTAATTCTTATGGCGGAAGGGGCAAAAATTATTATAAACTTCTTGACGCAAAACACGTAAATGAAATATATCAGAACATCATTGGAACGACTCTATTTTTTCACTATGGCAACGTTAATGGATATTTAGCTGAATTAAGAAATGGAAATGATAAAAACATAACTATATTTAAAGAAAAAGTATATCAACATTTGTTACATAATTACACGAGTAGGGATTATTGTTTCTCATCATCGAGAAATCAAAGTATTAAACTTACTTTACTTGCAATTAAAAAAATTTTTAAACACAACATTTTGCCATTGTTTTCTCATCTAGAAGAAGTCGTGAATTTGGATTATAAAAGAAAAAAACGTGAAACATCAGATGATGATGATGATCATATTGAGGAAATCCCAAAAAAGATTCCAAAATCATCTCATACACAAGAGGGAAGTGAAACCCATAAAGAAATGTTACATCTTCTGCATGATTTTAAGAAAGAGGGAATTTCTTTTAGTATGAGAAACAGTTATTTCAAAAAGAAATTATATGATTTAGCTGTAATTCAAAGGAAATCTCATAAAGTCCCAATTGGTGAGTTATGGTGTCTTCAAACTACAAATTCACAAGCAATTGCTAATTTTTTGTTCGGTTTAAAAGAAAAAATTTTCCATTTTAATGATATAACTCTTTTGCAAAGAGAAATTCCATCATCATCATCAGTTATCGATAATAACGAATTGGAACAATTTTCTTCATCGAAAACAATAGAAATTCGTTATCATTTAAGAATTACAATTAACAGAGGTATTATAGATTTACATTCATTTTCCCACAAATTTCATGACGAGTACATTACATTTAATGATAAAAAATTTTATGTTTCAAATACTTCATTCAGTAATGATGGAAAAATTTTAAATATTAAATTATACGATTATGGTAGATGGCCAAAATCAATGAGTAACGAAATTATTTATCTCGCCAATTCTGAAAGTACTTTGATTGAAAGAATGGAAAAAGTGAAAACAGTTGCAAATTTTTTCACACAAAATATACCATTATTTACGATAATAAAAGCAGAAGGCATTCTGATGAATTTCATTTTAAGAATTAATACCATGGGTGATGTGCCAAGTTATGATCAGTTTGCGAAGGATTATTATAATAACTTAAAGATTTTGCCTTATTATAAAAATTTCAAAATAGAAAATAACGACTACATTAAGGATGTAATATTTTATGATAAATTAGATGACATTCGTTTTATCATTGAAGCAAAAAAAAGAATTGAAAAGTTTTATGGTTTTCATCATATACCGAATTTCAAGAAGATATTTATAAAATATATATCATTTTCCCTTTTTTCGATTCTGCGATTTGAAGATTATTATACATTATATTCTATGCTTAAAATAAAGTCAAAATTACTTCTTCATTTTTTCAGATATGAAGCTGCAGTTTATAGACTGGGTCTTAGACAATCTTCCAAAAGTGAGACTTACATACCAATACAACTTTTTAAACGTAAAATAATTAAGATGAAAGATTTAGAATATTTTGAGTCAGTAAAAAATAAAAATGGTTCTTTAAACTTAGAATCGTTTCCAATGTTTTACAGAAATTTGTTTGTTGCTATGACACAACTTACGAATTTTTCATTAGATAATTCAGAAGAAAAGCTAGTTATATTTGAAATTACATTAAAAAATCAAGCGGCTATTGTGAATATCAATTTTGGTGATTTATATTCTACAAATCCATTTTATATTGTAACATCTTGCCTACCCCTTAAGGTTCAGGATGTACAGAAAGGAACAACTGTTACTGGAGAAGAAGAATGGATTGTAAAATTGTATGACAGTGATATATCACAAGAAAAGAGAATGGTTTGTATGGCGAAAAAACTTAATGAATTATTTTCAAATGGTGTACAATATTTTTCAGATTAATAAGTGCAATAATTGAAATTAGATAATTATTATATTACTATTATATTCTAATGTAAAAAATTATTTTAAAGAAATATATAAAAGTCTTATAATACTGTTAAACATTGTTAAAATATATTTGAAACACACATCTATACACAAATTCCAATACCTGATGAGCTGTGTTCACGCAGCTAAAATGCATTTGACATTGAAATAAATTAATTAATTTCTACATTAAAAAAACCTTATATACTATATAGAATTTTGCATTAGATTTTAATTTCTTCTTTTTTTTCTTGTTCTACGTTCAAATCCAATTAGTGACTTAATACGTATGTAAGTATTCTCGAAAGTTTGATCTAAAAAATTTTCTATATACCAATAAGGTTTCGTCTGATAGAGGCTCAACTATATGTTACAAAAATTTAAATTCTCAATTGAAAAAAAAATTAATGAAATAGACAAAATATATTAATAAAAAAAAATTGTTTCAAAGAAATAAAACAAGATAAATTGCTAAAAAAAGGAATTGACTTTTTTTCTAATAATAGATATAAACTTAAGGAAATAAATCTTACAAATTTCTATTTTTGAATTTTGAAAATAATCGTCCGAGAATACCGCCGAAGTCTAATCTTCACAGAAAATTAAAAGGCATTGAAATAAGCTGCAACGCTTATTATTTTAATCCAATGTTGCTTATTTTAATCCATTTTGGTATTAAAATAAGCAAAATTGGATTAAAATAATAAGCATTGCAGCTTATTTTTAATGCCATTTAATTTTCTGTGTTGGGAGTCTCGAACAAAAAATGTATGGCGCACTTTTCGATTATAAAATATGTGAATTTTATGAAAAATTTAAAAAAAAACTTTTTTTTTAATATCTTATAATATCTATAAAAGTAACACGAAAAAAATGTTATGAAAATTATACAGGTGGGTCCATAAGGCCGGTTTTTTCGTCCACTTGAAATTTTTAAGCAAAAAATAATGGTTTAAATTTATTTTTCGTCAAAGAAAAATTATATTTTTGATGATTACATTGTGAAATGAGGATGTTTTAGACAGATTAATATATGATCGTGATTACAATAAATAATTACATATGTATAAAATCAATCATTTTTTCGTTATTAAATTATAAGGTGATGAAAATATAAAAGTAAAGTTTATTTGAATTATTAATTTGTTTAAAGTTGTGTTTGTAAGTTATTGATGTAAATAATTTTAACTAGTTAAAAATTGAAAACTTTTTTCTTTTTATTTTTCCAGCTCCTTAATTTTCAAAATCGAAAGAATATTGATTCTATACATAATATATAATAAAGGAAGAAATAATTTTATAGTTAGGGAAGAATTTATAAGCTTGAAAATGAAATTCAAATATATATATATATATATATATATATATATATATATATATATTGAAATTTAGTGTACCTATGAATAAAACAGAGATTTTAGTGCTCACCGATTGCTAACAAACAGTTTACCCCTATAGTTGGGTACAGGAGGGGTGCCTGTTGAAGTGTGCGTCGACGCACCCCTAATTGTTTTATTCGTACCCCCAGCATCCTCTCAATCTATTTCATCCCTTCAGCCACTCTCATTTCATTGCGACACCACCCGCAGCGTTTATCATGCACCACTAATACATAACAGGTTAACGTCTCCTTTTCTTATTGAATTTGACGACCTTATTTTTATATACCCTGTGACAAACGCAACCAAACTCTATAATCGAGAATTTGCATAAATGGTTTTTGTCAACAACCAACATAAATGAAAACAATATTACATTGAAGAAACCATCCAAAATATAAAAAATGCAAACACCTAAAAGAAAATTATTCAAATTTCAAAAAATATTTTTGAAATTGGAGGCCTACATTAATTTAACCTTTAAACTAATATCAAAAAATTACGCTTATGATGCTTTCCTCGCAGTTGCAGTTTCGCAGTTTCGGGGGACGAATGAATATTTCCTTTATTAGACTTGACGGAATTTTTGTAGTGTCAAATTAAAAATTATCGAATTTACATTTAGTAGAATTTTAAAAAAGAGATTTTAAAATGAGCCAAATTTTAATGTCGAAAAATTACTATTTAACAAAATACAGATTTTATAGAATTTTTATTTAACTGGACTGTGATAAAGCTGATTTTCTAATACATGGAATTTTCAAATAATACAATTTCCATTTAACAAAATTGATATCTAGAAAAAATTTTCATAAAAAAGAATTTTTATTTATCAGAATTGTTCTTTTGTTAAATTTCTATTTATCCGAATATTCACTTAATAGTATTTTTATTAACAGAATTTCCAACTAAACGAATTTCTATATAACAAAAGTTTAATTCAAAAAATTTATATATAATCTAATTTTTATTTAATAGAATTGTCATTTATCATAAATTCTTCTTAGCTAAATTTTTAAGACAGAGAATTTCTATTTCAACGATACTTTATTTGACCGAAGTTTCACTTATCCGAATTTTCATTAGATAGAAAGGTTAACCCTTTAAGTCACACATTTTTCTTTTTACTAAATTGGCTTGACAATTGTTACTCGGGGGTTTTCGGGGCCGCTGATTACGAATCTGACATTAGTTTTTAAAAATTCAAAATGGCGGATACAATATGGCGGACTTGGAGTTAAAAATTAACTGAATTCGCTTGAAAATTGTTACTCGGGGGCTTTCGGGGTCGCTGAATACGAGTCTGATGTCAGTTTTCAAAAATTCAAAATGGCGGATCCAATATGTCGGACATAAAAATTAAAAATTACCTGAATTCCCTTGAAAATCGATACTCGGGGGTTTTCGGGGTCGTTGATTACGAATCTGAAGTCAGTTTTTAAAAATTCAAAATGGCGGATCCAATATGGCGGACTTGGAGTGGAAAATTAACTGAATTCGCTTGAAAATTGTTACTCGGGGGTTTTCGGGGTCGCTGAATACGAATCTGATGTCAGTTTTCAAAAATTCAAAATAGCGGATCCAATATGGCGGACATGAAAACTAAAAATTGACTGAATTTTTTTGAAAATCGATACTCGGGGGTTTTTGGGGTCGCTGAATACGAATCTGATGTCAGTTTTGAAAAATTCAATATGGCGGACATAAAAATTAAAAATTGGCTGAATTTCTTTGAAAATTGACACTCGGGGGTTTTCAGGGTTGCTGAATACGAATCTGATGTCAGTTTTTCAAAATTTAAAATGGCGGTTCCAATATGGCGGACTTGAAGTTGAAAATTGATTAGATTCGCTTGAAAATTGTTACTCGGGGGTTTTCGAGGACGCTGAATACGAATCTCATGTCACTTTTCGAAAATAATAATTTCATTTTTTTTATCTATCCTGCTCTCAGCGTTACCCAGAACCAACGACGTGGACGTGGCAAGATTTTGGTTCCACCTTGTTTTTTTTATTTATTTATTTATTTTTTTTTATTTTTATAAATAAAACAAATAACGATCGTCGCAAAAAAAAGTCAGTAAAACAAATGACGATCGTCAACAATCTTTATGATAGTAAAAAAAGGTATACATTGGATTCAGTTACAAAAACATAAATGCTAACAATTTTGTAAATAACAATACTGCTGAGTGTAAAAAACGTTTATTTTTACAGGTTACTAATCCAAGTGTTGTCAGGTACATGATTTAAAGATAAGCATCTATTATTTCTATTTAAACATTTAAAATTCTGAAATTCTATTTTTATTTTTTTATTCAGCGACCCTGAAAACCCTCGAGTAACGATTTTCAAGCAAATTCAGTCAATTTTTAACTTCATGTCCACCATATTGAATCCGCCATTTTGAATTTTTTAAAACTGACATCAGATTCGTATTCAGCGACCCTGAAAAACCCCCGGTACCGATTTTCAAGCGAATTCAGTAAATTTTCAACTTCATGTCCACCATATTGGATCGGCCATTTTGAATTTTTAAAAACTAAAGTCAGATTCGTAATCAGCGACCCCGAAAGCCCCCGAGTAACGAGTTTTAAGCGAATGCGTTGACTTTTTATTTTTTCGTCCGCCATATTGGATCTGCCATTTTGAAATTTAAAAAACTGACATCGGATTCGTATTTAGCGACCCCGAAAACCCCCGAGTAACGATTTTCAAGCGAATTCAGTCAATTTTCAACTTTATGTCCGCCATATTGGATCCGCTATTTTGAATTTTTAAAAACTGACATCAGATTCGTAATCAGCGACCCCGAAAACCCCCGAGTATCAATTTTCAAGAGAATTCAGTTAATTTTTAACTTTTATGTCCGCCATATTGGATCGGCCATTTTGAATTTTTAAAAACTAAAGTCAGATTCGTAATCAGCGACCCCGAAAACCCCCGAGTAACGATTTTCAAGCGAATTCATATGAAATATAATTGTAATATAGTGAAAAACCAAAGGTGGGTCACTGAGCGACCCACTGTGACGCAAAGGGTTAAAACGTCGAATTTCCATTTGATCGAATTTTCATATATCAGATTATCCACTTGGTATACAAATTTCAGCGGTAGATTTAAAATCAACCAATAAAAAATTATTAAGAAAATTGTGATTGGTTGATTTTAAAACTCCCGCTGAAATTTGTATACCAAGTGGATAATCTGATATATGAAAGTTCAATCAAATGGAAATTCGACGTTTTAACATTTCTATCTAATGAAGATTCGGATAAGTGAAACTTCGGTCAAATAAAGTATCAGTGAAATAGAAATTCTCTGTCTTAAAAATTTAGCTAAGAAGAATATTTATGTTAAATGACAATTCTATTAAATATAAATTAGATTGTATAGAAATTTTTTGAATAAAACTTTTGTTAAACAAAAATGTTGTTATATAGAAATTCTTTTGCTTGGAAATTCTGTTAATAAAAATAGTTTTAAGTGAATATTCGGATAAATAGAAATTTAACAAAAGAACAATTTTGATAAATAAAATTTTTTTTTTTATGAAAATTTTTCTAGATATCATTTTTGTTAAATGGAAATTGTGTTATTTGAAAATTCGATATTTATTAGAAAATCAGCTTTATCACAATCCAGTTAAATAGAAATTCTATAAAATCAGAATTTTGTTAAATAGTAATTTTTCGAC